AAATTACTATATTCTCTTTTCATAATTTCATAGTAATCAAATTAAATTTTATTAACATAAATTATAATACGAAAATCACGATCAGTGGAACGTGATGAAAATGTCACAATTAAACTATCAAAGTTCAAACGAACTACGTGGACTTTGATCCTGTCTAACGGGTACGTAGGCAACCGGTAAGGTTCGAGTCCAACTAACAAGTTAATTATATCTTTTACGTCAGTGGACGTATAATTTAATTACAACTAACACGATTTAGTTTCTTCAATGGTCCAGTGGGACCCTAAAATTACAAAATTATTACTAAAATACACCCAACTCGTATAAAACTTATCGACTTAAGTAGTACCAATTTAGGGCGTTGTGGGGGTGTTGCTTAACTTCCCTACACGTAACCGTACTCCCGAACCCAGAACTTTATTTTCGCAGACCATGCCTCGGTTCTGACACTAAGGTTAGAGCCGACCGAAGAGTGTTCGATCCACTCCAAGTAAGATCGATGGCGACTCCCAAAAATGCCGACGCGACGACCTACGGACCCCCCCCGGAGGGACGGTTGCGACATGTCTTTTCTCTAAGAGAAATCAAGGCCACAAATTTTGACTCCATAGTGAAACTTAGTGATGCAAGTTTGCTTTTAAGAGGCCCAAGATATGGCTCCTCCCTCAAGCAAGAGGACCCATCTCGATGTTGAAGTATCACCTTTAACATGAGAAATCCAACTAACATCCACAATCCTTCCAAAATGGATGGAAAGCCACTATAAGTCAATACAATGTGCTTTTGAGATATCCTAGTACACGCCCCATTTCATGTCAAATGATGAGTACTAGGATTCTTCCTTTACCAATTTAATTATTCTACCGCATATATGGTATATGGACTTATGCAAGTCCTTGCATACATCAAGCACCCAGTTACTTGAAAATACACCAGTTGTGAAACTGGTTAGCCAGTATTAACCATAAGTTTCATACTTGTGGATCCATTGTCGTATTTAACCCACGACAATTTTCACAATGGAATTTTAGCAAGCACCTTCTCATTGCAGAAAAATAGAGAGAAGGGATCTTTTTTTTCATTCCTCTTGATTTAATACACAAAATCACATTTGCATAATACACAAAATCATATGAAAAAAAAATCCTTTCCATAAAGTCCACTTATCTTTGATTGGTACTAATGATAAGCATATCATCTACATACAAACATATGATGACTCTATTACCAGAATCATCAAACATTGTATATATACTTTTGTCTCTTTGGTTTAACATAAACCACTTAGACAAAACCACACCATCAAACCACTAGACAAATCCATATTTGTCTAGCACTTCGTAAACGTCGAATATAGAATTAGACAAATTTACCATTGAGTATGTGACCTACCCAAAGACAATTTTCATTCTTCTATTTCTCCATTTTACGAATCATTCTCCTTCTTCCTCATCTTTGAATCATCCCTCTTCCAAGTTACCTTCCGAATATGGAATACACCATGAGACTAGTATAAAGAAAACCCATCTTCTACTATCATCGATGAAAAACTCATCACCTAACATTCTCATTATTCCATAGTCCGGAACCGGTTTCTTGCAAAGAGCGGTTCGAGCCATCATACTGGAAATATTCTTTACCATTGTTGGGACTTTTAGGGACAAGGCTATGCGTACGATAGCCTGATACCGGGTGACTAGGATAATGATAGAGTCGTGAACAACGTTCACTTTCCGTAAAGAATATTTCCACCCCCTACAAAGCCTTGGATTACAGGAAATTTCTTCGTAGGATAAAACTATCACCAATTTAGGTTTCAAACTCAAGAACCTAATGCATACTTAGAAGTTACATAGGAAGAAGAGAATCAAGTTTGGTGTCATCATGTTCAACATCCGGCTACCTCTATTTATAGAAGCCGAATAGGTATGTTGCTTCAACCGAAGCATTGCGTTGTTCCATACCAAACGTTGCAACTAGTGGACATAATTATGGATAATGGATCATCTCATTATAACCTCCATTATCCATAAGTGTAATTATCCACCAAAAACCATAATGCATTTCGTTGCATTACTGTATTCAAATTGGTCCAAGACCACATGCATGGAACGTTGCTTTGTTTCATTTAAATTGGTCCAAATGAAACTGATAGACCGTTAATTGCACATGTTTTTACTCCTAATCTTACACCGTTTGAGATGTTGATTCTCGTGTTTTAGATCGATTTCATGCTAGGTTGTTCTTGTTTGTGATATTTTAGGTCCTAGTACGTGAATGAAGGTTTGGGAGCGAGTTCGGGGTCGATTGGACGAAGATCGGACGTGTGGTGAGACGCTGAGGAAGCAACACGGGCACTCATAAAACCCACACGGCCGTGTAAGGAACCCATGTGGCCGTGTGGAATTTACCGAGGCTTCACACGGGCATACTGGAGATTCCACACGGCCGTGTGTCTCTGGCCGTGTAGGAAGCTTGAAGTCCACTTAATCGAAACTCCGCGTTTTGACTCTCACACGGGCAGCTGGGTAAGCCACACGGCCGTGTGGCCTGCCCGTGTGAGTCGAGAATTCTGGGTTTTAACCCAATTTCTAGCCACAAGTGAGAGGATCGATTTTTTAGAGCAAAAACAGAGCCCTAGAGAGAGAAAGTGCGAAGAACACATCCTAGAAGTGATTTTGGAGCTGGGTTTCACCAATGGAGCTTGGAGATCATCATAGGAGTGAAGATCATCATCCCAAAGCAGATTCTTCCCATTGTTACGAGTATGGCTGCTTTGTATTCTGTTTTCTTCTCTCTCTCTATGGAGTAGAACCCTCTCTCACTTGGGTATGAAGAACCCTAGTTCCATGTGTTAGGAATCATGATTGTAATGACTTGGGATTGCAATACTGTTTGGTTTTAATTGAATGATGCATGATTCATTGAATTGATTGAAGTCTGATAAGCTTTTCTTGATTTCTGCTACAACCTGAGATAGATAGAATCTGATTAGGTTGTTAGAGCTTCATCATTCGGTAGTAGTAGATTGGCTATACGAGAGTTAGTCAGTCTACTGCGTTGTACTGGAATCCAATTCCAGTAGTGGAGTTCTGTGCTTATTGCTTCAGCTTTCTATCCCGGTGAAGACTAGTCGTCTGTCGGGTAGTTAGACTGAGAGGGCTTAGTCAGCTTAAGAGATTCCAAGCTACTGTCGGATCTTCCGCAGTTTAATCAACAGTAAATCAACCCAGGGTAATTACAAGTGAGACCTAACTAAGGAGCTAGAGGACTCATTCCCGAGTGACTCTTCCTTTGCTTCAGAAAACCGAACCATTTCCTGCTTTCTTACTACTTTTAGTTATAACCACAATCAATCGACTTAGTTGGCTAGATAATAGATATTCATGGAGTAGGCAGTAGATCTAGACCCCGGGTTGATAATTAGAGCTTGCCACTTTACTGCATTCCTGGAATGCGATTACACTTGGTCGCAGTTTGGTGTTGTGTCGTAGTGTGTCAGAAACCATGCACCACGTGGGAGCTTAATGGAAGTTGGCTAATTGAATCCATATGGAAGTTGGGTAATTTTAAAATTAATTTAACCAACTCATTTTGATCTTATTTTCCAACAACCTCAAATCGGTTTGGTCAGTTCAATCCCAAATGATTTTTCCCTTTTAGGGTTCAACAAAATTTCAAACAGTAATTTCTTCTTGTTCTATAATGAGTTGTGATCAAATATGCGGTGCATTCTAAACTGTACCAAACCGCTAAGTTATGCGGTTCGGTTTGACCGCACCAATTACATTACGATCCAATATGCGGTATAGTTCAATCACTAAACGGTGCGGTTAGTACCTCAGCGATGCCCACCCTACTGGAAACGGTGGTCAAGAACTGGCGAAGCAATGCCAATCTCCATTTGCTAGCTAGTGTTCATTGTTTTGCATCTGCAGAATCGAAGAGGTGGTCCTCAATACCGTGGTCATTGTGGGATGGTTAGAAACACGAGGAAATAAAGGCAGAATTGGCTGAGGGATGACATGCCAGACATGGCCACATGGGGGATTTATTATCACAGGTGGATAATTACATATGTGATATCCATTGTCATAAGAACGTAACCGGATCAACGGCTGCGTCAGTAAAACTGCTAAATCAGTTACTATAGCGATTTGGTTCATTGCTTAAATGGTTATTGATGGACCAAACGGTTTCTTTCGGTTCAACATAAAGTAAGATGAACAACCGCGATTTAACTAGTCCACTATTTTAACAAAAAAAGTTAAAAAAACTTTAACAGAAATTAAAACCATCAAATAATAATTATTAATTTTATATATGCCTCCTCTTCTCACTCAACCTTGTTGTTGATTTTACGTTGTACACTATCGATTAACACCGTAATTTTTAATTTTAATTAAAAAATACGATATCTTTTGTGAGATGGTTTGAATGATTTATTAGATATTTTGATAATGATATGAATTTGAAATTGTTTATGGTCAATGATAACTTCATTATTAAATTAGTGTAATATAAAAGTCATATATTTTATATATCGTGAACGATTTTATCAACGGTTCACCAACGGTTTTGTAACGGTTAACCACTGAACCTAAAACACTAATTTTTCCGATTCAGCCTCAAAACAGAGGTGATATCAGTACGTACACCTAAGCATAAAAGATGTACTTGAATTCAACTACCCTATCAGAAGTTGCATTTCTGTGCATTAGTCTTATTCTTCATCAGGATATAGTAGCAGTACTTATCTTTTAATGTAGGTTGGTTATAGATTTCATGGAACCCATATAGATACTCTGTTTCAAAGTAGCTCTTCCATTTTCTGCAACCAGATATAATGTTTTATTTGGAATATATCTGTTACAGTAGGAAATATTACAATGTATTTGTTGAACAGAGAAGATCACAGTCCTGACTCCCTGAAAAGGACAGTTTAAAGGTGGAAGCCCTCAGACTATGGAACTAAAGCGAAGCTCTTGTATCCTCTCTTCGCTTATTTAAGGCTTTCATTGAACTAACAAAAGCAGAATTATGCATATATAAAATTTATTTTCCCCCAGAACACAGAAGCCTACTACCAAAGCCACATGGCACCAGCTTCCATGAGCATTGGAACAAGTCGGTTCTGGAGATGGAGGTTCATCACCTGCTTCTCGCCGCCGATCAACTTTTGACCGATGAAGACAGCTGGCACACTTGGTCGGAAACCCAGCTGGAGCAGTGCCCCCTCGATTTTGGAACCATTGGGGATTTCATCCAGCTCGTAGATTTTCGGGTTCGCTCCGAACCCAAAGACGAGTGTAGTGATGGAAGAGCTCTTGGTGAAGATTACCAGTGGTTTGTCTTTCTCTAACCTGTCCACCATTTCCATTGCTTTAGTTTCTTCAAATGATCAGTGGAGTTATATATATAGTTCAGGAAGTGTTGTGGAAGAATGTGAGGAAAGGTGATAAGAGAGAACTAATGGGTTGGAGAAGGGCTTTGGTTTGTTGTGGAAGTGAATATCCATGGGGGGTTCACTATTTATACTATAGCTTTTTCGGAAAGGTGTTTGGTGGTGCGTTTTAACATTATTAGACTACTAATTTTATCAAGATAACTTATAGCGATATGGTAGCTACTTGCTTGTAAGACAGGAATCCGAAATGTGTTCCTGAAAGAAGATTGATAGGTTATACACTTCGCATCTAAGTTCCAGAATTAAGTTATCCTATCATGCAACTAAGAGACTATTTTTTTTCCGGAAAAAGGCATTTTTTGCCCTAATTCCACTAGAAAGTCCAAACTAATCCGAAAGTGTAATTTGTGTTCTAAATTATTTAATATGACAGATCTTGTACGAACTATATGCGTTGCGTGACATTTGTGCACTAAAAACTTATCATTATGACAAATCTGGCACAAACCACATAGGTGCTGACTAGTATTTTGTAAAATACTAAACGCCGGTCAACATTAATCAAGAAATAGTTGGTATCAGATTTTTCATATTGAATAGTTTAGGACACAAATTACACTTTTTGAATAGTTTAGACTTTCTAGTGTAATTAACTTTTACCGCGCACCATGCTAGTTCCCAATCGATCGAATGGAAGAGCAGCGGAGAAGTACTAGGCAATGAGGGATTCAGATCACAAGTTTGCTGGCAAATATTTTTCTTTCATGCACAGTTCAAATTTTATCTTGTGATATAAAATGCTCTAGACTAAATTTGTTTTTGATATTTTTTGTGCGTGGAAACGTTGCAATCTGTGTGTGTCCACCTGTAGGTTGTTTCAACATCATGGAAGGCGTAGTTCTATCTATTATGAGCATCTTCTGAGTTGGAGAAAGGGTTTGGGTTTATCCAACTGCTCCATAACTTTATAATGGGATGAGAGACGCACAAAAGCATGCCGAAAGATCGATGATCTTTATTATTCAGAAAAAGTTGAAATTTGTAAGACGTGGAAAATATCCACCTGCGTACATATGGACAGAGATGGGAACCCAATTCATGTCCAGCATGTCCTGTGTTCAACGACCTTCATATTTTATTGGACAAGCGTTTTCAATCTCTCGTAATTCAATTCGTTCCACTATCTCTTTACACCAATTGATTATACTCAGCAAGATTATACTTTCTCCCCCTCTCGAAAAGACAGTCACTTTTATAGCTCAACGAAAGTTGGAATAGCTTGAAGAACTCCCATATTGCAGTCAATACTTTTGTAACGCTATACACTGTTATTACCATCCCCATCATAACTATCAACAATGCGTTGATCATACTGAAGGCTATAGTGTTCAGCTCTTAAAATCATATAAAATTATGTGTAAATTTTGTAATAAATTTGAGAATATAGTAGTTGATAAGATTGTATACCTTTTGCTGGTTCAAAATTTACGAGTAGAGCTTCTTAGCCCTCATTCTTTAGATTTTTGAAATGTTTTAGAAGCCGTATGCTACTGCCTGGTCGGAACGAAAATATTGGGTACCGAACCTCAAACGTTAGATGGTTTTAGCAGTATGAAATCGCTGAACCACGATCTTAGTACACAATATAATACCACTAACTTTTCCGGAATAAACTTCACTACGATTTCACTATCCTTGGATTTTTTATCGGCCACCTTCAACATAATTTAAATGAAGTCAAAATAAAATATAAGCAAATTGTATTATATCTACTATAAGCAGATTGTATTGAATTACATGCGTATAAGTGAAAGAGAAAATAAATAGTCTCTAGATTCAAATGGTGCAGAGTAAAGGATACAATTTCGCACATTAGCTTGTCCAACTCATTAACTCGTCTCTTGTTGCAGGCGCTTTAGAATGACCCACCACGATATCACATTACTGATATATGAGAAGTTGAAAGAAGGAACAATGTAAGATTTACGTGGTATTCTCAACCAATATAGTTGAAACTAATCTTGTGAGAGCGTAAACCTCTCATAGTCAATTGTATATCCACAAAAGTTCTTAACCTTACATCAGAGGCAACCTTCATCTTATATACATTGCTGCCTAACCCTACCAAGACTGTTAATACAATTACGCTAAGACTGGTAAATTATGAAATACTACACAACTTCTAACACCCTCCCTCAATTTGATGGTGCTTATAAAACATCAATTTATATGCTAGAAACCAGTAACGAGATGTAGCAACAGCCTTGGTCAATAGATCAGCAGCCTGATCTTCAGAAGTGATGTAGGATAACATAAGATGTCCTTCTCAACAAGCTGACTAATATAGTGAACATGGATTTCAATATGCTTCTTACGATCATGTTGAAACACATATTAACCTGGAGGCAGTGGCGGAGCCACTTGGAGAGGAGGGGGGTGCAAGCACCCCCCTTGGGTTTGGAGAAAAAATTCCAGAGTAGGGGTATATACAAATTCGAACCAGTGACCATTCAGTTGCAAGAAGAATTTCTTACCATCTCGACCGAGTGAGTTTTGTTATGCAATGCACTTTCGTCTTTATTTATAGTAATAAATTGTTGTCTTTTTTTTTAAAACTCGCTCATTTCTTTTGTAGCTCTACAACAGAGAAATTTCTTGTCTTTTGTTTAAACAAAGCTGAAAGTGAAGAAGTACCAATTGAAGTTCATTTGTTTGTTTCACAAAATCAATTCCAAGGTACTTCTGAGTTCTAATTTGTAATATTTGATGAATGAAAGTCTTGATTTGTATGTACTGAACTTATTTGTTTGACGTTGTAACCGGTGTACATGAAACTATTTTAGTGTAATTGTATGAATTTAGAGTATTGCATTGTTGAATTTTTGTTTCATTTAAAGTTGACTTTTCTATTGTATATGTGATTTTTTTATGATATGATAAAGACACCCCCTTGGCCAATTTTCTGGCTCCGCCACTGCCTAGAGGACACTCCATATAAATCGTTTCTTTCAAATCACCATGGAGAAACACATTTTTCACATCTAATTGCTTCAATATCTATCTCTTCATCGCAAAAACAACAAGGAGTGTCCGAACAATCTGCATATTAGCCACGAGAACAAACGTTTCCCTATAATCAATGCCAAATTCCTGTCTAAAACATTGAGCCACAACACGTGTCTTAAATCGCTCAAGCGTTCCATCAAGATGCATTTTTATTGTATAGAAGAACCACTTGAAACCAATAACAGGATGCTCCTTTGGTCTAGGAACAACATCCCAGGTATGATTTTCTTCTAAAGCCTGACTTTCAACAACCATTGCCTCGTCCCAATTTGCATCCCCACATCCCTGTTTGTATGTAGCAGGTATTGTAATAGGGGATGTTGAGAAAGCCATGAAGTAATTCAGCCTAGAGGGAGGCTGGCCTTTAATGGTGCAGGAGGAACGAGGAGGAGGAGGAGGTGGCAGTACATGTATGTATGTAGAGGATGACAAGGAAGAGTCCGAGCCTAGGGAGCTCGAGTCAGTGGAGCTTAAAGCGGAATGTGGCGGACACACCTGAGACGGACTATTGGGAGACGAGAGCAAGCTGGAGGCACAAGGCGATGTATTAGTATCCATAGAAATGGACTTAGCCTGAGAATGCAAGGGACCTTCATCAGTTTGAAGAAGGAGGACGATTCGCAAAAAATAGTTGCGGTTCAAGAAAACTTAGGTCTTCATGAGTGGTCAACTCTTTATATGGACAATATGAAAGGTGTTCTAAGAATACGACATGACAAGAGATTCAAATTCGCTGATTCGTGACATCATAATAAACGTACCATTTGTGTTTGTCACTATAGCCCACAAAAACGCACTTGGAAGCCTTTGGACAAAGCTTATGTCGCTCCCGCCGATGCAGAAAAACATAAAAAACACAGCCAAATACTCGAAGGGAGGCATACGATTCGACAACACTGGAGTAGGCTGGTGATTAATAAGGTATACAATCATATGAATCGCTTTAGCCTAGCATCTTGAGGGAATACAAGACTGAAAGAGAATATTCTGAGTAAGCTCCAAAACATGTCTATGCTTCCGCTCTACCAAATCGTTTTGCTGCGAGACATCAGGACACGATCGCTGAGGCAGAATATCGTGTTGCTTAAAAACTTCTTATAAGGGGCCAGAGGAAAATTCCTGACCATGATCAGAACGTATGGTCTTCACAATTTTCCCAAACTATGTTTGTATCATCTAAATGAACTCCTTAGCAATAGGGGTGTTCAAACGGTGTGGTTCCCATGGTAACTGTTTTAACCAGTACTATTTGGATAATTTGGATAATTGATTTGGTTTGGTTAAAGTTTTTAGCTTGTTTGGTTTAGGTGGTTTGGTTTGGTTTGGTTTCAGACACTCCTAACCAGTCAAACCAAATTAAGCAGATAAATAATTAGTCATATATCTAATAGATACACATACTTAATACTTTGAATAACCACCCTTTTAAACTCATAAAATATAAAGCTTGATATTGTTCCTATAATGTATATTTGTATATGTAGAGTGTAGACCACAACATATGAACGCCTAATTTAGATAAATCTCATACATTATGTTTGATGAAAACTTGAAAGCAACGTCCTTTTCAGCCTATGAAAATTGCTAAAAGACTAAGTCAATTCAAACAAACACAACAATTCATTAACCCATACCATTGTGATAAATTTTTGCTAGGTGAATACTTCTATACTAACCGTAAGATAATTGTCTTAGTTGCATGTATTTATGTTAAAGGTCAACTATAACCAAGTGTTGATTGTTATGTTTTATTCATTATATAAACTATGAATTGATAAATAAACCGAAAATTTTCTCACTTAATGATAATGTGATTTTATATTGGTTAATCTGGTTAACCAATTAACCAAACCGATTAAACTTTAGTTTGGTTAATTTGGTTGTTGTATTAGTTTGGACGGTTTGTTTATGATATTGTATTCCATGGTTAATGAAATTTAGCCTTATTTGGTTTGGTAATAACCATGGTAACCATTTGAACACCCCTACTTAGCAATTGTCAGAAGATAGGATTATGACGAAGAAAGT